ATTTGTCTACCTGACCTGGATTTTTCAGGTCGGGTCGGGTCGGGTCACAGGTTGACCTGACCTGATTCGGAGCTCTAATATGAACTATTACATTATATATATATATCTTGAAATATTTGAAGTATTTATTCTTCTGTGCTTTCTTTAATCAATCATTTTGCTTTAGACTAAGAGTAAAAAAAAAGAATTAGGTTATTAACTTATTTTTATAAATTGGTTAATTAGTTCTAGATTTTTTGTAATGTTGAGATAATAAGTTTGTATTACATATTCTATGTTTATTACTTTATTTATTAGAGTGATTGCTTTTTTAATATTAAAGTATTATTTATTGTAGTTGTAAACACTTTTCTTTTAAACTTCATTTCTCAAAAATATTTTTTTAAATAGTCTTTGATATTTTCAGAAGTATAGAAATTAGGCAATAATTCTATGCTAATTAATACTTTATGTAATTTCAATTTTTGGTCTAATTATAAGATTATTACACTAATAAACTATTATTTTGATGGGAAGTTTAAAGATTTAATGTTATATTAATAGTAATTGCGCTTGATTTTAATAATTTCTTAAGATTTTCTCCTAACTATTTGTATCATTTTTTTGCATTTTTTCAGTTGGTATTCGAAAACCTGATTCAAATTTTGTGAAAATATCCCAAAATATATCATTTTAAAGGCCAACAATTAAGAAGTATAAAGCTGATAAGCAATTGTTCTAGAATTAATTGGTGATTTATAATAATATGTTTTATAGCAGTCCTGATATTACCATCTGTAATTTCTGGCTCTTTTGGATGATCTTTATCAATTCTATGGTTTTGCAAAAGATGTTTCTAAGCAGTAAATTCTTTGTTCATTTATAATGCTTAATTATATCTTTATTTTTACATACTTGACAAATAATATATAATTGTTTCTCCTCATTATCATATTCTTCAGAAAAATGGTCCCAAATAATGCTTGAGTTTTCTCTTTTACACTTTTTATTAAATGTGTGCTCCATTTTTTTTGGAAAGAATTATGTTAAAATATGATGTAACACTAATGCAGTATAAATGCAAGATCAATATGCGATGAGTTGAGTTGAATTTTAATAAACCGGTCTAGATGTTATTTAAAAAAAAATATTTCAGGCTAAAACGATCTGAAACCGGAAACCGAAAACCGGTCTTAGAACACTACAAACAGCTATAATATTTTGCTTGTATTTTTTATCCTAATATTCTCATTGGTAATAGCTATTCATTATTTTCATATTCTATAAATGAACTTGGTATTGATAGTAAAAATAATCTTAGATAGTTTGTATATATTGAAGGTCAATTAGTTGAAGAAAATCACAAATTGTGTATAGAAGAAAACATGTATGGGTAGGTAATCGTAACTTTTGAGACATTTTATGACTTATTCATTCCAATAGGTTCTTATATCCTGGTTGTTTTCCTAAGATAATATTAATTGTCAATGATGGTGGTAATGACACTTTTTATTTAAACCTATGAGATTTGAAACCAATAAAATATTGCTTATGGTAGAACGTGTGTGCATCTACCTGCTGGCTGGCGATATCAATCTTAAACTTTAAGCAACGAAAGTTTTATTTTGCTTATGATATAATGTTAAGTCAAATAAATTTTTTCTATGTTAAATCATTAATAAAAATGACTTTACGTAAGACTTTTTAAAAAAACAACTTTGATTTTAGCCCTTTCTCAAATTTACAAATCCGAGATTTCCTTAAATATTTATGAAATAATCTTTTTGTGTGATATATCCGGTATTGTATAATATATAGTATACCGTAACCATTGCATCCTCGATATGATTTTTAAATTAAACTTTTATAAGACAATATCTAATATTTTTAAGAATTTGCTTTATTTTGAAACAATAATAGCATTGAACGCCTAAGGTAATTCTCATGAGGGAGTCACAAATTCCACTGATCAAGATTGATTAATCCATTGTTTCCCAAATTTAATTCAAACAATTTTGGAAAAGATAAAAAACAAATTATTGATTTAATTTAGGAGGACAAGTTACTCAGGAAACAATAAATCCAAGAGCGATCATTATTTGCCATAATTCATTGAATTATGTAACATTGGGATCTAATTCCTGGATGAAATATTGCTGACAATTTCATGCGATAGATAGTCATTAAAGATTAAAGTACAAAAAAGAAAAAGAAAGTATTTTTAATATTGTTATCTGAAAATTTTGTGCAGAATTAGTTATTTATCAATAGAAGTTAATGATTTTGTACATCTTCATTTAAGCGTCTGGTTAAAAGGTAATCATGATTGTTAAATATAAAGCTTTTCTAACATTTTTATATTTTGGAAAAAAGCGATTATATCTTTTTAAATGGTCTCCACAAACTCTGATTATGTTAAATTCTCATTACATGTATAAAAATAAAAATTTAAGACCACCGATAAGAGGATCTTCGATCATAAACCAAATGACCATTATGGATATAAACAGTTATTATTTAGCAATACAAATAAATATGCAAGAAATTATTGCCTCACCTCACAAAGAAAAAATATATAATTAACCTATTTATATCTTATATCTTTTTCGGAATTTACCGATAAATCCCGATATCTATTTCAACGGAAATAGGTTTTTTTAGAACAATTCGAATTTTTTGACAAAACAATTCGAATTATGTCGTGCTTTATTTGTACGCTTTCATCAAGTCTAAATAATTTTTCAAATGTCGAATCAAAGTTCGTCCGATTAATATATCACAAACGGTATATCAGTAATTTATAAATTCGAGGATTTAATATAAAGAAACCATCCAAAATTGATTTATTTCAAAAGAAAAAAAATAGATACAACCAATTAAAAATAAAATTACAAATTATCTAAATGTATTAAACAGAAATATTAGAGAGGGGAATTAAATTATGCATGTATGTGTGGCGCGTATGCGTGTGTGTGTATTTACTCGCAACTTGAACCAGCCAGGTTTTAATATGTAAATATTCTATTATATTAAAATTATTCTTTCGTTTTGAATATGACTCGTTAATAGTAAAGATAAGAAACAGAAACAGCTGCCATGCCAATCATTGATAATCCCACATTTACGCCGTTTGTATGTGACGCAGCGTTAGTTTCGACTGATTTTGGTTCGGCAGCATTTGTATTTGTAGAATTATCCATTGTTCCAACATTATTATTAACTTTACCCTTCGGTGCTATCGTTTCACCTTTAGCATCAACAGTTTCAGGATCAAACCCTACAATTTTGCCATTTACGTCTTTAATGGTAAACCTAGTGGACCAAACTTGAACAGCTCCAGCAATGAATTTGTAAAAGTAATATTTTCCGGCTGGTCCCAAATTGGCAGGAATCTTATAAACGACCTTACCCTTTGCTGGAGGAAATGTACCTAAATCCATAACTTCAATCTGATTACTATTCGGTCCCGTCATTAATTTAACATTAATATTTGGTAATTCCAATAAAGATGGGGCGATACCATCATCTCCCCATACTACTTTACAAGGGGTTTTGGACGAACAAACCGTTTTTTGGTTTACTATTGGGTATAAATTTGCTTCTATCATAACGGTAAAAAGCAAAAGGCTCGCTCCCAGAAATAAAATAATGGAGTGTTTCATGTTGAAGAATTTTTTAACGTTTAGACGTTTAAAAGGGGAATATGATTTTGGAAGGGGTCAAATTTTCTTTCTAGAAACCGGCGAAAGAATGTGGAGAGAATGAATGTGTTTGTGGGTGTGGATAGGTGAGAGTGGGATGAGAGAGTGAATGAATGTAAAAAATAAAGGCCACGGTAAAAAATTGCGAGAAAAACAGTAGCAAAAAGACTTGTAGAATAATGTTCGCACTCCATGGGCATTTATATTCTTCTGGTATCATTTAATTTGTAACCTAGATAAGCGATTGTGTTTAATGAAAATTTCCTTAAATGCGTTCTTATGTCCCATATATTTCTTGCGAAACAAAAAACCCATTCATTATTAATCAAAAAGAAAAAAAAGGGGGAAGCTTCTAGATAGAACTTTCGTATTAAATCGAGATTGTAAGTGTAAAACACATGTTTGAGTAAGAGAATCCTTAAAAGGGAAATGTAATTATCAAATTAACACAACGAAATACAAATTATTTGAAATCATCTTTATTGAGGATTATTATTATTTGTTATTTTTTTTTTTTTTTTTTATTGAGAATAACTAAAATGGCCAAACACAAACTACAAGTCTCAAATTAAATCCTTTTAATCCTCAAAACAAATGCCTTTTTTATGTAGCCAAGATCTAAATTAATCAAATGATTATTTCGTACCACTATGTTTTGAATTTCGATTATTGTAAAATAAAAAAAAAGAATATATAAATATTTTTGTCATATTTCGTTAGACCGATGAACATCACGGGAAATTCCTAATTGCTATGAATTTTCCGCCGGTTTATGTTCCAGATTGGGGATTTTTTTTTTTTTTTTTTTTAATTAATTTAAAATGGTGCATAAAAAATCCGAAAGGTTTTGTAATAAACCGTGATGCGATGCACGTTTTAGAATAATCTATACTGCATATAATCTTTGCATACATTGAATACTGCACATAAATAAATAAATATGGTCGGATCTACCTCAGCGAGGGAACGACCTTTGATAATTTTTTATCAACAAAAATTTAGTTACTTTGCTATAAAAGACTCTCTTGTAATAGAGCATGTGATAACTTGTAACAGCCCAAGTGACACGTCCATTCGGATCAATTTCACTTATTCTAACGTTAATTATGATCATTAAATGCAACGTGAATCCTCGACGATATTTAACATTAATTATGTTAGCGTTTCAAGATATTAAGACATTCATTCCTAAAATCGAACGTTCAAACGTTAAGGAAAAAAACTCCCCACACATTTTAAATTATTGCACCCTCGCTAACCATACTAGAAACCTCAATGTTTCATGATTCCGAAACCTTAACATGGAGACGCAGCAATACCGCATTGAAAGAACCAACTAAATTCCTTACAAGCAAATTATTTGGGATTTGGCTCATCAATGCATCATGTGTAACGCCACGAGGCTGGCAGCAATTAAAAGTTACATAAATCTTATAAATATAGAAAGAACAATGTTTTCAGTATTTTTTTACATTAAAAAAAAGAGTAATTAAAATAAATAAAGAAATGGCAGATAAAGTTGTATATCTAACACATGATTATGATTGAAATACTCGTGATGTGACAGGTCGGGTCTCTCTTTATATCAAATTTTATTCATTATCATTCATATTACTATTTCATTTTCCCTCTCTTTTTTTTAACAAAATAATTATATATCGTAAAACGCTTTAGAATAAAAGGAACACTTCGTTTCATACTCTATTCACATATTATTTTTTTCTTATTTCACACTTATTGTACTATCCATTATAAAAACGTTCTAAAGTATTTATTTACACAAAAAAAAATAAAATAAAATACACTAATAAATAAAAATAAAAATACTTTACTCGATGGAAAAAACCTTACTTTTACGATCATTTGGTTGATTTTTTTTTTTTTTTTTGAACCGGGATTCTTTTTATAGAATTTCAATAAATTAGTTCGAAAATTAATAATTATAATAATAATAGTAATAATAATAAAAATCATCATTTACATAAATATTTTCTAATTAAAGTTTGACTTTCCTTATTTTTTTTTTGAAAAAAAAAAAAATTCCTTTTTGTCGTAATTTATTTTAGTTTTCACAATTTTTTTTTGTTTTCTTTCAAGACCGCCTAACAAACTATTTTTCGAAAAGGTTGTTTGATTAAATATGTTAAGTAATAGAAAGTCCATGGATAAAAGATTTGTTGATTATATATTTTTGGCAGGGTTACCAACAGATTTTCAAATTAATCCTGACAAGCAAGATGAAAATGAATTATTCAAAGGAGTTGATGATGAATTGAATAATATTGAAGGATTGAACTCTGAAAAAAAAAATGTTACGGATAAAGAACAAGCTCAAATAGTGAGAGAAATTGATCAAACTTCATCAAGTTCATCAAGCATGGATTCATTTACCGACGCAACAAGTACACTGTCAATGACAAATGCAACGACGACTGACGAAACGGTAGATTTCACTCCCAAAATCAAATGTAGCAAAACATTTTCTTCTGACATGTTTAGATCAAAAAGTAACAAATCATCATCATACGCTCGTACCAGAACATTGGTTAGTAGATCTTTTGTAGCAGATGATGAAGGGAGCACAAAGTTGTTAGACGCATTATTTGAAAGTATTAAAGCAAGCATAATAAAATTTGATCAAGATCGTGATGAGTTTTTAGGAACAATGAAAAAAGGATCAAAATATTATAGTTTTCTTAATTCAATTAAAGGAGGAAATAATGATGATGATGATGGTAATGATGATGAAGGGTGTGAACGTAAATCGAAATTATTTAAAAACTTTGATGAGGAATTTGTAAAATCTGATTCTATGCTACGCGAAGTAGTGAATGTAGATAATAATGATGAATCACTTACAACATTGTCAACGAAACTATTTAAAAATTTTGATGAGACGCTTGTAAAAAACGATTCTTTAAAAAGTTCTTCAAATGTTGATGAATCAAAAGTTCAAGAAGGATTAGATACTAATAGACGCTCATATCAGAATGTGGTGCCACAACAACCATCATCAAAACAAAATGATGTTTGTTTTGACACTTTATTACACCCTTTAAGGCAAAAATTTGCACCAAAATTATTATCAAAGTACCCGGAAAATGATTACCCAGAAGAAGGTGCCTTTCCGGAATATGTTCCAATGGTAACTTAAAAACACCACCTTAATTATTAGTTTATCTATTTTTACTTTACAAGAACCATTAATAATCTTCTTTTTTCCTTTTCTCTAGTTTTGTTTTCCTAATGATATAATGTTAAGAGAGTCGAATGAATGTCCTTCAACAACTTTTCATGGATTTGTATCCTTTAAAAACTGATCTTTTTTTTTTTTACTTTCTACATGATATTAACCTTAACGAGATATTAATGAATGCGATTAGGTGATGACGCAAGAAGATGGATCACAGCGACACGGGGCATGCTTAACTACTTATGAACCAATTCCCGAAGATTTGTTTGAAGAGCTGAACGAGCAAAAGAATATATGGAGAGAAGCAAACATGGTAAAGTCCCAACTTATTAGAAAATTCCTCTTTTTTTTTAAAAAAAAAAAAAAATAATCGAATTAAGATCATTTTATCGTTCTTCCCCTGAATTAAGTCTAAAAGTGAGATAGAATATGCAGATCATTTACTTGACAAAATAAGAACAGAAAGAAGAAGAATTGAGACAACAAGAGCGAAAATTATGCTACAAGGAATAGATGCGGATAGTAAAGAATTAGAAGAGATAAAAAAAGAAAGAGAGGATGCTGAAGATAAATTAGTATTATATAATGAGCTATTGCAACCTATTAAATTAGGGGTGTTAGATAAGAATAGTTTATGGATACCTAAATGTATCGGAATAGTAAGTCATTTACCGTGGCATGATGTATTAAAAGATTGGCTATGTGCTGTTGCAATGCCTATGATTGAAGATCTTAAAGAGAGCAACGATCCAATTAATTCCCTTGTTCCTCTTGAAAGGTATGTGCAAAATCGATTCGGAAGATAGTGTGGAAAAGGAGAGAATTTGTGGAAAAGGAGAAAGTTTATTTTCTTTATTTTCTCTTCTTTTCTTTAGGCATATAGTTAACCTTGTACATGAAATACCATTACCACCTCCTGGTAAATTACAAGTTGCATTTTCAGTTAATGATATGACATTCTTTTGTGCGAGACCAGCACTCAACCAAATACCAATAATGAAGGATGTAAGTCAATAATTATCAACCTTACAATTTTTAATAATTTCGTTGTACTAATTGATTTTATTTATATGTATATATGATTATTTGTGAATAGTTTTCACTATATCCGTTATTTAGAAGCCTTTCAATCCAAAATATAGTGACATTATTTGAAGTTGCATTAACGGAAGGAAAAATATTATTAATATCATCATATCCAGACATGTTATATTTGGTCGCTCATAGCATAACATATTTGATTTACCCACTATATTGGCAAGGCGTATTTATTCCTGTACTTCCCGCTAGATTAATGGCGTGTTTACAAGCACCGGTGCCATATATCATGGGAATCGAAAGACAGTATAAAGGTGTTGATTTATTGCCCGAAGATGTAAGTAATTATAAAAAAGCAATTTGATCCTCAAATTCGCTCACTCATTCATATTGTTCTTCATTTATTCATAATAGGCTTGTATTGTAGACTTGGATAAAAATACAATATTATTGGCAAACTCGCCGATTCAAATACCATCAAGACAGAGAAAGAAATTGATCAAATCATTAGAACAATATGCACCATTGCATACACAATGTAACATACCATTAGGAGTGCCAAAATTCATACAAGAAGCATATCCTAATGGTAAATTTATTCCAATTAGTAACAAATCAAAAATACATGAAAAAACCGATAGTGGGACAGTTGGTTCGATAATAGGAATGCCAGCGAGAGCGATACCATTTGCCCCTTCAATGAATAGTTCTTTTAATCCCGAAAATGGATTAATGAAAAGTGATGGTACTCAAATCGATCAAGCGTTACACTTAGCTCCCATACCTGAGATTAATGACATTCTTATTGATAATAGTAGTCATAATAGTGTTAATAGTGGCACTAGTAGTGGTGCTAGTGAATTTTTTATTAATAATTGTAATAATGAATTCAATACCACGATAAACACACATAATAAGAGTATGAGACAAACTATGGGTAATATGGCTGGGGGTGGTAATCATAATGTACAGCACGCTACGGTACAAAGAAGGTTTTCTAATTTCGTTTCTCCCTCAAGTAACCATGTTGATAAAGCTGATAGTGTAAAGAGTTTAGATAAATTTGGAAAAAAGACAAAACAAAGGTTTAGTTCTATAACCGGAGGTGCAAGGAATTCTATAATCGTAAGTTGTTATTATTATTATTATTTATTATTATGTTCTAATTGGTTTATTCGTTATGCTTAAAATTTAAAAATTCATCTTTTTCTTTTCGATCAAAGACTTTAAGGAATAAAGCGTTGTCAAGAAATAGTAGCGCATCTTTGAATGGTAACGTATTTAATCGTAATGGTATGTCACGTGGAAATGACATTCGTCCACATTCGACTTTTAATAATGATTCTGTAATAAGTCAACCCACATCTCCCGACTCGATCATGTGTTCGGATTCATTATTTGATGATGTACAAAGTACAATGTTTTCAACAAATTCAGATATCTCTTCACTGAAAAAATTTTCCGAAAAAGATTACATATTAAAAGAAGGACATTTTATGGTATTATCACCATCCGATAATGAAGCGAATGACCAAAAAAGTGGTGTTTGGATGATGGAAGGTTTAGCTTGTAGAATATGTAGGAACAGTCTTAGTGTTAATTCTGTATATAAATGCGATTGTTGTTCTGTGATGATACATGAAGAATGTTTGAATGATATTGCTTATCCTTGTATACCTGCTTGTTTTGATGAACCGAAAATATTAGATGCCTTCTTAAGAGTATTTGCTTCTTTATTAAGCAATTATCGTTATTTTCTTTTAAATAATGATGATAATACGAGAGATAGTGGTATAGGAGATATATTTGAGGATGGATTTGGTGTTGCTGGAGATTCCAATGAATTATTTAAAAAAGATTTATTCTTAAAATCTGTTGAAAAATCTTCCAAGGTAATTTTATTTTTTTTTAAAAAAAATGATGGGGTTTAATTTTTTTTCTTTACTTAAAAAAAAATTTTATTGTATTCCTTTGTACCCTTTAGCCATTTTTATCAAATTTGTTGGATTCTCAATCATTTTCACAATTTATTGCCGAAAGAGTGATGAAGAAAGGTGATGATATTGATTTTGGCATAAAACATTTTGATGAAGTTATAAAAGCAAAACTTAATAGATCAAAATTAAAAATATCTAAAGAATCTACTTCATTCCTTAACGTAGGTTATTTCGTATTATGTTTCATTAAAGAACGATATTCACAATTTTTATTAATTTATTTAATTTGTAAATCGCATTTTATAGGATTCATCATTTGAAGTGTCACAAACCGTACGTGCCATAAAACCAAATGAAGAAGGTTTGGATGAATTAGGATTTGAAGGTTATGTACGTCTACCTGATTTCTTTGATCCTGAATTAATATCTAATCCTCGCGCTATACACAACGGTTGGGCGAATGGTTTTGGTAAAGGTTGGAGATAGATATTTTTGAATGTATGCTGTGCGTATAAATACCCAAATTTTAAAAACTTCTTCTGGTTCTTGTAATTAATTACTGGAAAAAAATTTTAGAATAGGGTAAGATTTATATAATATCTCGAATTATATAGGTGTATCAATTTATTTTTGTTCACTAGCAAGTATTTGAATACATTATAAAAATAATAATTTAAAGCCTGGATATAGTATGTAAATGTAACCTGTTAAATAAATTTATTCCTCGTGTTCCATCGATATAGGTTCAAGACCAATTTAGCTTCATACATATTTGATTATCATTCAAAAGTTTTGATACACTAAAATCGACTTTTCTATCTAAACCTGTTCATAGGCACAAGCTTTCAAAAATTGTTTCTTTCGAATAAAACATAGTCTTATTTCCTTCATTATTACAATAAAAGATAAAAAAGGCAAGATAGTATGGGATGTTATCTTCAGAGTTTCACGACATGCCAAAGCAAAATTTCAATGAATCCTCACTTGTTGATTCTTATTATTAAGTGGTCCTTTTACTGAACCTACAAATGAAAAAAAAAGATTCAATACCTTAAATTTGACGCGTTTGTTTCTATAAAATATCATGATAATGGGAAAAAAAAATCATAAATTGCTTGCATTGCTTTCAGCTGAAACTTTTAAGCAGAATATGAACCGAAATAGATATCATTTAGTTTGCACAATTTTTTAATTTGTGCACAAAAAAATTTATAGTGCACAATTTTATGAATTTTATATATAGAAATTTAAATAAATAAATTCTTTTTTTTCGCGTTTTTTAAAAAATTTCATTTATTAATATGGCTAATAAATCATATAGTACCAAAAAAAAAAAATTTCTTGTGCACGTGTGCGCAAGAGTTTAATATGCTTTTGAAAAAAACACGGTTCGTGTAAGGATCGTCGATTCACGTGTTCAATGCTGGAGAATTTTATTTGAACTGCAACTTTTTTTTCAAAAATATCGAAATTTTAGCTTATGATCAATTTATAAAATGATCATGGAAACTATGATAAAGGATTTTAATGAACGTACATGTGAACTTAAGAAATTTATGCTTCTTCGGGTCGAAGGTAATAAAATTAAGCTTCTTTTATTATAGTCCTTGTTCATTTTTAACGTGTTCAAAAAAACATTCACAGGTTCCTGTGAAGAAACGGATGAAATACTTTGCGAATTACGCGACTCACTTGATGAGCTTGAAACTCGCGTCTTGAAAATGTCAAAGTTTTTGGAAGAAGAAAAAATTGCTATAGAGAAAGCCAAAGTAATTTTTTTTCCTTTATTAAAAGCGCGTTTTTTTTTTTTTTTTGAATGAACAATTTATGTTTTTTTTTCATTTCATTGCTTTTAAAGGAGGTAAAAGCTAAATTACAGTCACAACATGATCATCTAGAATGGATGTGTCAGCATTTACCAAAACATTTACCAGGTAATATCGAACCTTCGACATTTGATCAAACAAATATTCATCCATCGTAAGTATTTTATACATTAATAGTTTTAAAAAGTCATGATATATTAATATATTTTTTTTCTATAGGAATGAAAGGAATGAACAGCCTCAACAAATTGTACCAAATCACGCAAAAGGACATGAACAGGACTCTTTGCAGGAAACTGATTTACCGGTAGTCGAGGAGAATCCATTTTACGTATCTACTCAACCTACAAGCAATACTAATTTTGTGGCTATGGGATTGTCATATATTACTGTATCGGAATTCAAAAATGTACCAAAGTATGTTATGATTTAAATCCATCATATTATTAAGTTCCGTCCCGTTATTAATGAAATGATCTGATCTATGTATATAAATATTAGATATATTCACAATAACCGTATATCGCGCGATAAAGTTAATGAGGCCATTGACGATTTCAATAAAGTCATACAAGAAAAATATACAATCCTCAAGTCACAACACAGCACTCTAAATCATAAGATGAAACAGAAGTACTGGGTAAAGTGTTTTTTTTTTTTAGGAAAAAAATGGATCTAAAAAAAAATCACTTTAGTTAAAATCCTTTGTTTATATATATATATAGAAATACAAAGAAGCGGAAAATGAAGAAACGAGAGGTATTTTGCAATTCATCGCCATTTAATAGGTAATTTCTTCACTAAAATGATTATCTTCCTTTATAACAAGACAAGGACTTTATCACCGAAAATGATCTTAAATCAACAAATCAAAAGATCAAATTTAAAATTGATGCAATTGGACGCGCCATAATATCCATTTTGAGACATTGTGGTAGGATTAAAGAAATTCGAGGGGGAGGGCAAACTAGATATGTAGTACTTGGGAGGTAAGTAATAAAATTAATAAACTTTTTATTTATATTTTTAATTTGCCGGGATTTATTATAAATTATCTGGTGGTGATACTAATCGCGAAAAAAAAAAGATTTAAAATACTCACTGTAATATAACTATAAACCACACAACCTGCTTTTAAAATGATGATTTTAAAATTAATGTAAAATCATTATTTTCGAAAATATATATATATATATATATATAATTTATTTATAAAATAGAACTTTGAGCTATTAAATTCTTATATAATTAATCTATTATATGTTAAAAAGTTAATATAACCATTGCGTAAAATCTTTAAGATGAAATTTATTTATGCGAGTTAAGATCAATGGGTCAATAACGACAAAGTGACTCTTTTGAGAATCGGATTTTACAGGTGTTCTTTCTGAAATCATCATGTAATGTAAATTCTTTAGAATTGAACTTTTTCAAGGGAGAACCTACTATCATTTTATATACAGTGCTTGCATCACAACATTTTAAATAATGCTTTCAAAGAAATATAAAAAAAAAATGATACTTCATCTTGAAAAATAAAGCATGAACTAAATTATTTGCAATTGAATTTATGTTTTTTTTCGATTTAAGATGAGTTAGATTCTGACTGAATGTACACTTGGAAGGATCTATTTCGACTCGAATATTAATATTATTGCTTGTTTAATAAAGTAATTGACTTTTTGAAGCTTATTCATTCCATTATTTAGTCGATTCACAAAAAATCATGGTAAAAAAAAAAATAATAAATATTTTAAATTAAAGACAAGGACAATTGGCACGTGACGCTAAAACTTACGACTGAACAGATTGACGCCCGGAACATCTGTCAAAGTAGGCATGAATGTTTGTTTTGTCAGAATTTTTATTATGCCATACAAAATTGGAGGCATCATGCAGAGTTATGTATGTAATTAATTATGTATGTATGGTGATCAAATGTACTATATGTATGGTACAGCATTTATGATACAGCATTGTCCATAAACATCCTTTTTGTATGAAATCGAAACTGGTCACCATGCAAGTCAAATTTGATAAGCAAAGGTATTTATTTATTTATTTATCCTCTTTCTAAATATTATACACAAAAATATATGCATGTATCTATATTAATTTTTTTTATTTACCACATTATTTTAAGGATTAAAAAGAAATATATAATATATAGAAACACTCATTTGTGTCATGTTTGATAACGATTTTCAATTTGGATAATTTGGATATATTTCGATATTTGAATTCATTTTGACATTCGGTTTTATTTTTTAATTGGATCTAATTTTCAAATGGAAAAAATTCTCTTACAATTAATCAAGGAATATATGTATTTGCAGTTATATAATTTGATTGATTTCAAATATTCATAAGAAAATCTCATGGGAAATAATTTAGTTGACGGAAAACTTCATTTTCACATAATGTATTCAATGATGAAACTGATCAAATGTGATTTATCAAATATCAATAAATTTAAATATGAGGAACTAATCAGATCATTCACAATTATGTTCTTTTCTTTTTTTTTTTTTTTGATTGAAATGTCGAAGAAACTTTTTTTCCCTCAATTATCTCATGACTTGACCAAACTAATCACAGACGAACGATTCAGTGACGTGATCATTGAAACCGGCAGAGATGATGATAAAAGTTCATTCAAGGCTCACTCCTCAATATTATATTGTCGCTCTCCTTATTTACGAAAAGAATTACTAAGGAATGAAAAAAGGGTTGATCTTTTGAGAATCGATTTGAACATTCCTGTTGAAACCTTTCGGGCTTTGCTAGGGTAGGATGAAATCTTGTTTTTTTTTTTTTAACCTTTGTATATATATATATATATATTATTTTATATTTAATTTTTTTTCACTGACCTGGAAAAAAGTTACATGTACAACGGATTGATCCCATTAGATCATTTGACGACATTTGAGATTTATCAAATCTTATTCGCTTCCGAAAAACTTGGATTAAAAGAATTGGTCATTTATATACAATTCTATTATTTACAACCGTATCATAAAGTATGGTTATGGAAAAATTTTGAAATGTTTTATCATTCAAGTTTCAAAAACGAGTCCTTTCAAGATTTACAAAAATTTTGTACAAGCATCTTGTTTCAAAATCCAGATTTGATATTGAAATCATTGGATTTTTCCTCAATGACCCAAGATTCCTTGATCTCATTCCTTAAACATTATGATTTGAAGATAGATGCGATCGAGATTTGGGATTTCGTAATTAGATGGGGAATGTCAAAAAATCCACGATTATTTAAGGATACCTCCAGTTGGTCGAATGGTGATTTCAAAACGCTTGGGAAGACTTTACAGAATGTCCTCCCATTGATCAGATTTCATGAGATAAGTCGTCAACAATTTCTTGAAAGGATACAACCGTTTAAACAAATTTTTGATCCAACGGTCTATGACTCGACGATGATGAGATATTTTATGATCCCAAACATGGAAGGAGAAATTACGGTTTTTCCAATCACTCGAGAAATTCTTGATTCAACCCTTATCACAAAAAAACATGCAGCATTAATCGGTTTTTGGATTAGACAAACCGGAAAGGAGGAAGTTGGATCGATTGACTTTGAAAGGAAAGCCTTTAAATTTCAATTATTACTTCGAGGAAGTCGTGATGGATTTACCGCTTCAACATTTCATCAATTATGTGATAATAAATCAAACACTCTTGTAATCTTAAAAGTGAAAGAGACCGAAGAATTACTTGGAGGTTTCAATCCGAATAAATGGAAATCGGTCAGAGGGTGGGGAAAGACGAATAATAGTTTCATCTTCTCTTTGAGGGATGTGAAAGATCTCAAAAATTCGATATTAAGTCGGGTCAAACGTGCGGGTACCGCGATAAATTATGAAAATTATCTTGGTCCATCCTTTGGTTTTGATGATATAACGATTAATGGGGAGAATTTTAGGGAGGAACGTAAATGTTATTGTAGCAAGCACTGTTATGAGAAAGAGATTAGGAATGTGGAGGATTACTTTTCACTAGATGATTATGAGGTGTTTCAAATTCAAATGAAAGTTTAAAATCATTTTTGCGTGAAAAAGTAAAATAGAACAGATATGGTATGGTATGATATTCAATAAATTTGTCTATTATTAGTATAAATTTATTTAATTACCAATTTCATTTATGATCAACGAAGGCTAAGTTTCAAATTTAACCTTTTTAAATCACTTATTCTCCATTATAATACTTTCCAAAACGAACGTAATCTCTTTGTAAATCCGGAATTTCATGATTGCTATTTTTATAGATTTAAGACTATAAATAGAATTTGCTATAATCAAATATTTCTTCCCTTTGATTGCTATAATTAAAAAATATTCCCTTATTAATTCTAAATAACTGAATCAATATTTTGCAGTTCTATGACATTTGAGTTTTACTAAAAAAAAAAAATCTTTGATGCAAGGAGCTTTTTTTTAAAAAAAAAATAAAAAAATAATAAATCAAAGAAAATCAAAAACAATATAATTTAATAATAATAAAATAATAATACTAATAATATTAATAATAATATAATAATAATAATAATAATAATTACAATTTAACCATCGATCAAAATTTTTAACAAATTTCATGCATGAGTTTTTAACGTTTATAACATACAGAAATATTATGATTTCGTGTTTTGTTTGTTTTTAATCCACGGTAACAATGGATTTGCCACCTGTTCTATCAAATTTTGCATCAGTATGAAAAAGAAATAGTAAATAAATCCGCGTGTTACGTGACATCTGCATCGTTATTTGTTTAATATCGTCCAGATATGTAGGAAAATAAAAAACCTTAATCTTCAAAACGTTTAACCGGTTTATTCTTCTTTTCGATACACAGGAAAAAAAAAAGAAATAAAGAGAAAAAAGAAAAAGGGAAAAGGAAAAGAAAAGGAGCAAATTCGAGAGAAATTAAAATCCTTCCTCATCTTTCTTTCTCATATGACCTGTAATCAAAAGGAGCAAAGAGAAAAGCATATTAAAAAAAAAAGAGAGACAACTTCATTCATTCATCACGATTCATACTAATTCAATGATGATTTAAAATAATATCAGAACAATCTTTTTCAAATTTCTATATGGGTTTAGTAACACCATGTGATAATTGTGATGATTTTTGATCGGCGCTATTTTAAACGAACAATGAATTACAATGAACTTTCAAACGGAAGAAATGGTAGCGATCAATAATTATCATTCTTTCCTTTTTCATTTTTTCATTTTCATTTTCATTTTTATTTTTATATTTTTTTTTTTTTTTGTCATTTCCTTTTAACGCGCTTTTTTTTTTTAAAAAAAAAAATGAATAAAATAAAATGATGATATCAATTTGAATAAGTAATAATAATTAAAACGATAATAATTAAATAATTAATTATAAAAAAAGGGTATAAAAGGTTCTAATGGATTGTTTGTGGTATATTGAAATGATCTTGCTCGCATCTTGACTTATCCGATCCTTATTTTCATATTTCCTTGCATTGTAGGTAGGCAGTTACCCGGAATTGCTTTTGTGTAAAAGATGATTTATCCTTAATTTTTTTGAATGAACCTAATCGAGCAAAGAAAATCACCTTTGCTGCAACACAAAACTTTGGAAAACGTAAAATCTAATATCTTAAGTAACGTATACAAGAAATTTTCAATCTTTATAAGAGAATCTTATAATTAGAACGTTCACCGAATGACAAAAAAAATTGCTTTAAACCAGGTTAACCATCTTTATTCGTTTACACCGAGTCACACTAAAAAAAAAATTACGGATTTTGCTATATGAAGAAAGGAATTTTGTCGACTAATTTAATTTTACACAGCCAAGAAAACGTTATTATAAGATGCAGGAGCTACCTTCATTCTGGGAGATCATGTTTTTTTGTTTTCTGGACTAAAAAAAAAAAAAAGAGGAACACAAATGATCGACTCAGACTAAAACTTTGGTTTTTCATTTTATATCGTCAACTATTTTCCCAATTCAACATTAAGTCAGGATGAAGATAGAAATAACTTTCATTAAGTTTGAAAATCTCGGCAAGGCCAAGCATGATGATATTCATCTTTTTAAAGAAAATAATTAATGATTAATTTGACTTCTTAACATAAAAGTAAATTTCATTTCTTTAATATGAAATTGAAAAAATACTAGACGATAAACAGCGCCTTCACGCGCCTTTTTTTTCTACAATTTTGAATTATAAAAATTTTTGAAATTGATATTTTTGTGGAGAAAGAGATGATCCAAACGCGAACTTGCAACATTTGAAAAGGGATCGGATTTTCGGAACTTTTTTATATAAATACGCTTGGTATCAAAGGTGAAAAAATCATACCAAATATTCCTTTTAATTCTACAAGGAAAACAATATAATAATAATAATAATAATACATACACACCTAAAGCTTTAATATAAAATAATTTCAAGCGAAAATGTCTAAATTCACAAAATTATCCATCTGCGCCATTGTCGCCCTCTTCATTATTGTCACCATTTCATCCACGGCTTTTGCTGGAGATGGTAAATATTTTCTCATCATTACTAATATTAAGAAGTATCAACAATAACATATTAACAAATTAAAAAAAAAAATTTTTTTTTATTTAAAATAGCACAACTTGTAGCTCGTCAAGATGACCCAGCACCATCCGAAACACCAGATGCGTCAATAAAAGTGACAAGCAAGGACGACGGTGCAGCACCAGAAATTACACCAGACGCGACAGCAGATGCGGCACCAGCTGAAGGCAAAACTCCTGCCGCAGTAGCAACTCCAGTCCCATCCGGAACCGGACCTGGTTACGCATCAAAAATTGCTAGTGCCATTAACTCTGTAACAGCCGGTGCATCCATGATTCCACCACAACCATCATCTGCACCAAAATACACTTCCGGCTCCGGCTCTGACGCTAAAACTGCTCCTGCATCAAAGAGTGCCGCCAACAAGATCGAAAGTGGTTTAATCAGTGTTGCTGCAATTGCTGCCGTTGGTTTATTCTACTTGTAAAGGATTAATTAGTATTTTTATCAAATTAATTTTTTAAAAGTATGTAGGAAAACATAATTTTTTCTTTTAAAATTAGAACTTCTTAGTCTACTTAATAATACATCTATCTAGTATTTCTTTTTAATTTTTGTTATACTATAATTTTTATAATTTACGATAAATGATCGGCTCTTAATTAGAAAGTTTTATGATTAACGGATTGGTTTCCGAATTTGATCATTTGAACAATTAATTGTACTTTTATTTATAATCAGGTCACAATAAAAAATATTTTCTTATAAAAAAAAATCTATTCCATAAAAAGAACATAAGGTGATTAGGAAAGAAAAAGGAAATAATAATAATCATAATAATAATTTGTTATTTGTTTCTCGATAGATGTACAAAAGGAAACTTTAAAAAAAGAATGCGTTTTCTGTATTTTTTTTTTTTTGTTGTTGAACCTTAACAAATTACAAATTCAAAAAATAATTGTTTGAGAGATAAGCGAAATCATCTTCAATGAACGTAATAATCTTAATGATCTGGAGTAGCACTGGTCATAAAGTACATAAGGGTTATCTATGTACAGATTGCATCGACCATGTCATCAAGCGCACAAAAACTTTTAATTGTAAACACTAATAAAACCACATGACGCGATATCTCGTACGATGGTTTAATGATGAAATCCTTGGCGAAAATCTACAAGGTTTCGAATCATCATCATATCATCATCTTAGTGTTCCCGGAAAAAGGTATCTGAAAGCCCTATCTAAATCAGTATACTCATATCCAAAATTTTTTTTTTTGATTCTGTTTACCTTATTACGAATCTTATGACTCTTGCCTTAACCAATTAGCCCCGTTACACGACAAAACGGTTTTGGTTAGTTCAATAAAATTTCCACAAATAAACTGTAGATAGCACAAGCGCCAATTTTTTTTTCATTTTCAAATCACATCTCCGAAAAAACTTTTTTTTTTAAGGTTCATAAAAAATGATAAAATGGTTTCATTACATTATCTCACTTATTATTTATCCCATTTTGTAAATATGAAACGTAAAAATAGGTTTTTTCTATGAATGGAATTTATTTTTAAACAAAATGAAATGCCTCATAAAAACTAGCTGTATGCCAATTAGCCAAGATGCCGCAGCAGATGTAAGATGATAACTGTGTTTGCTGTCGTGTTTCGCCTGAATAACAATGAATGATGGGTTCCTAAGCGTCCCCTTAAACCAAAATTTATTAACACCAAGCACGACATATCTGTAACAGTGTTACAAAGCCAAACTCTGAACTATTAATTGTCTACATGGGGATAGTTTCCGAAAGGGATTACGATTTAGGAAATGGTACAGCATGATGAGAAGAATTCTATTCAAGAAATTCTTTTCAATTTTTCATTTCCTTCGCATTATTCTTTTCTTTTTTTTTATTTTAAAATTAAAACTTGTTTCTATTCAATGCCATATATTTCTACATTGGTAGTAAGACTTTTCTTATTTTAAAAACAAATCATTTTAAACCATATTAAAAAAAGAAAACCGGTCTCCTCCGGATCATGATATGTTTTTGAGAGACAAAATTTGTTTCATGCAGGCTAAAGATGTTGTGATAACCTGAACATAATCATGTTTATTGTTTTAGTTCAGGAGAAGAACATGTTGGTGCTAATTACGTGCATCTCCAATTGAACACTCGAATAAATAATACTTTGACGAGAATGGAATGATGTGTTGATAAAAGAAATTTGATATTTTTCTTCGTTTTTCCTTTGTTCAAACAGGTATAAATACAGACCATTTGTCCCAAGAAAAAAAATTCCTCACTTTCAATTGAAATAACAACTTTTGAAAATAAAAATAAAAATATAAAAAAAAATATATTAATTTATACTTTTATATCTCTCTCATAATCCTCTAATTTTTAATTTACGACAATATAATACATAATATAAAATGGCAAAATTCTCAAAAATCACTTTCCTCTGCATTGTTGCTATCCTCATTATTGGAACCCTCGCTTCCTTTGGTGCCACTGAAAATTGTAAGTTCTGCTCAATATAAACAAACCATTATAATTCGTTTCATTCCATTTAAAATAGTTACTTATCATATAATTTTTTTTTCTTTAAACAGCTCGTTTAATTGCTCGTCAAGACCCACCAGCAGCACCAGCTGACGGTAAAACACCACCAGCAGCACCAGCTGACGGTAAAACACCAGCTGACGGTAAGGCACCAGCTGACGGTAAGGCACCAGCTGACGGTAAAGCACCAGCTGACGGTAAAGCACCAGCTGACGGTAAAACAGCTGACGGTAAAGCACCAGCTGACGGTAAAGCACCAGCTGACGGTAAAGCACCAGCTGACGGAAAAGCACCAGCTGACGGTAAAGCACCAAATGCTGGAAGCAAACTCGAAAGTGGTTTAGTAACTGGAGCCATTGTTGCCGGTCTTGTCGGTCTTATCATTTAAAAAAAAAAAAGGAGGGAAAAAAAATTAGTTTTTTTTTTTATTTTTTTATTTTGTTATTTCTTTTAGAAAGTAGGATATTTAATAATGTCCAATTTTATTGTGCGATAAATATCTTTTTTTTCAAATATTTTTTTAAATTAGTTCTTTATAATTTAATTTTTTAGTCACAGATTGTTCCTGAAAATTTTTTAATAAAAGCTTTTTCGCTTTAAAAAAAAAAATTTCAATAAACATCAAATTTCAATTAATTTTACACATCAAAAAAAAAAAGTCTTCTTCATTTTTACCGATGCAAAGGATTCTTTTTTTTTCTGTTTTTACTTAGAAATAATTTATATATAATGGGATTTTTCTTTTAATAAAAGGCTTGTTTAGTAACCACCTTATTTTAATCGAAATTTATCACATTTTCGAAATAGTTCAGTTATGTAAATTGCTCTAATCGCGAAGAAAAATGAGTAAACTCTCGTGAGAATAAAATGATCACAAAATCTGTGAGAAATTGATATCTTTGCATTTGAATTAAAAAAAAAATTTCTAAATTTCTTTGAAAAAAAGCGGCTTTTATTTTTTAATTTAAAGATTGTAGAAAAATTGTGTTAAAATGCTAAATTTTGTCGTTAATTTCGAATAAAAATTGCATAACCTACGAATTATAATTTTGAGCATTTTTTTTGTCGTCATTGCTGTTGAGATTCGACGCGTAATGTAATAATAAAAAAAAAATGTGTCTTTTTCAACAAGTTATTCCAGAACAACCAATTTCTTAAAATATAGGTAGTGATTGGATTGCCCCCCCAAAAAATTAAAATTAAAAGTTTAAATTAAATTAATCTTTTTTTGCATAAAAAGATTTACGATACGAAATTACGATCTTTCGATCATTCTTTGCTCGGTTCTTAATTTATTTAGTATTAGCGTATTGATTGATAAAAAATAGTTAGCAGAAATTAGCAAATTAGTAGACACTTTTAAAAAAAACGATTTATGCTTATCACCTAAGCAATATTTGAAAGAAGTAAAATTTTGATTTGTCCTTCCAATATTGACATCTACTTGATCCATTTGATAATGTGGAGCCTTTGCAATGGGAAAACTGCCGGAAAAATCAAAAATGAGTTAATGCTAAATTTGAACATATTTCAGCTTAAAAATCATATTGGTATATAAAGTAAAATTAATTTTTCCCGGCAGTTTCCCCCCTTTCTATTGCAAAGGCCCCATATGTATTCCATTGAATAATTTAAAGATTATGTAATAATAAAAATCATAAATAAATTTCAGTTTTTAAAAAACATTGAATACTGTATTTTCAAAAAGTGTTAATACATTATGTCAATTATTATGCTATATACACTCAACATATTCTAAATTATAAATCTTCTTTAAATAATTAACTAGGAAATGGTAAACCGTTATTAAGTCCAAAGCTATAAATCATGAGATTTGATAAGATGATACAAAAAGCAAAAAAGGAAAAGGTAAGGGTAGAAATATAAGGTGATGTAGTAGATGGAAGAAGGAAAATACAGGGGATAACACATGACTGTACAGTTAGTTAATTGTTCTTCACTTCGCTTAGATAATGAATTTTGATTAATGTAATAAATAATTTCATTGTGAATTAAAAGATAGTTATTTTAATTTTTGCATTTTTTAATTTGCTAAAAAAACATATTGTATAACTGAATATTTATTTGAAAGAATTCTAAAAAAAATAAAATTGTTGTTTTTAATAATTATTTTTCATTTAATATAATAATTATAAATTATATTATCCCTTAAATCATAGGTTTTTGCAAGCAAATTTACCTGCTTATTTATTATAAATTTTTCTCTGATTACTTTTATAAATTATTAATGTTAAAAAAAAAATTTTTAAATTAATTTTATAAATATATAATATATTATAACAAGTTTTCTCTTTTAATTAATAAAAAATTTAATGTTTTAACTATATTTATTATAATAGAATATTAAAATTACTTATAAAGAAAAACTTTTATTATTATAAATTTTATAATTTATTAAGAAATTTTATGATTTTAATTAATGATAAAATGATTCAATTAGTACGTAAACATATAAATTTTTAAAGAATTTTTAAAAATTATTATAATAAATTTTTTGAAACTTAATTTTAAAATTAAATTACTTTAAATTCCTTTTAAAAAACTTAAAATCTTTGTTAATAAAATTGATAAAATATATATTAAATTATATTTTTTATATAATAATAA